ATAAGCCTGGGAAGTCACCAGTTTTTTTCAAAAAAAAAAAAAAGTTGGCATGAAATAAACATTCACCTTATCTGTTTTCCAAATGCATCTTATTGTAAACAATTCATCTATGATCTTCTGGTGAAAATGACCTACAATCAAGGAAACATATTTATTTTTGTTCATTTTAAATGTAAAAGCTAAATTTTACATTTCGGTTTTAAATGCTTTGGTTTTTTAAAAATGTAATACTCAGTTTTGTTTAGTCTAAGAAAAAAATACATTTGTAATTCAACTTTAAAACGTAATTTAAAAAACTGCACATAGTTACATAATTATTTTCTAAGGTTTATGTTTTGGCATTTTTAGCCTTTATTTGGATAGCACAGTTAATTAACTTGAAGCAAAGTGGGAGAGAGAAGGGGGTGGGGGATCAGGAAAGGTCCATGAGCCAGGACTCGAACTTGGGAAGCGTGAAGCACAACAGCACTATATATCTGTGAACTGCCACGAGGCTATTGGGGCCAACATTTTGCCATTCTTTTAAAATTTTTTAACTGGAAAGGCAGGCCACAAACACAAGCCTTACAGTTTCAAGTTACTTCCATTATGTTCATCCTAATTTCATCCCATCAGATACGGGGAGGCCAATTCGATGTGAAGTATGTGCTGTCGTCTCGAGTCAGGACAGGTAGGAGCATCCGAGGCCTGAGTCTTCCCCCGGCCTGCACCCGCGCTGAGCGCAGAGAGGTGGAGAGGGTCGTGATTGATGCCTTGGCAGGCCTAAAAGGGGATCTGGCTGGAAAATACTACAGCCTCACTCTGATGAACGAACAAGAGCAGCAGCAGCTCATTGATGTGGGTATATTCATAAATGTGATGATATGTAACTCAATAAGTTTTCATGCTGACCTTTCATTTTGCTATATAGGATCACTTCCTGTTTGATAAGCCTGTGTCACCCCTGTTGACATGTGCAGGCATGGCTCGCGACTGGCCCGACGCAAGAGGCATCTGGTGAGTTTAACCTCAGTGAGGAGTTGAGTGGTTTGATGGCGAAAGATGTCCTCTGACAGGACTGCGTTTCATCCAGAAATAGTCTGAAACAGCCATGTGCTGTGGTTTGATATCGATCACGGAGTGCACCCATGGCTCACTTACATCTCCTGCATTATTCATCCTCTTTTTTCTCTTCTTCCTTCTGCCTGCAAGGGAAAGTGTGCCAGTGTTGCCAGACTCAATTTGGAAATTAACTTTGATTTAATACCCTGATGGTTTTCGAGCTAACAAAGCACTTCTGATGCCATTTGAGACTAAAAGTGAGAATGAATGTAATAAGGTCAAGGGTAACTAGGTTTGGGAAATGAGAACAGATTCTTATTTTAAAAATAAAAGAACCATTTTGCCGATGTGGATGTATTGGCATATTAAATTACGCAACAAGCGTGAAACATAAAGCACAACTATTGTAGTCCAACTGAATGACTCTTATCAGTTGGTTGTTTTAGTAAATGAAAACTATGCAGTGCAGTCAGTGCCATCCAATTCCCGAACAAATGACTCTAAATCAATCCTTTTTACTGAATCAAAAACATACAGCTCAACCAATGGAGTCAGATTCTCATACAAATGACTGAGTCGGGTCCTTTTTTTTTACAGAATCAGAAATATACATCGCAACCACTGTAGTCCAATTCCAGATTAAATGCCCCTGAGACGATCCTTTTGGCTAAATAAAAAAAAACATACAGCACAAGCTGTGCAGTCTGATTTCCAAGCATATGACTCCAATGAATCTGTCCTTTTTACTGAATCCAAAACATGCAATGCAGCCAGTGGAGTCCACTTCCCAAACAAATGTTTAAAAAAAAAAAAAAGTGTTTCTTTTTGCAGAATTAAAAACATACAGCGCAACCAGTGTAATCTGATTCCCCAACGAATGGCTTTAATGATTCCGTCCTTTTTACAGAATGAGAAACATATACAGCGCAATCAGTGGAGTCCGATTCTCCAATGAATGACTGACTCAGTTGTTGTTAGAAAATAAGAAATGTACAGTGCAAACTAAAATAGACTCCAGATCAAATGCCTCTGAGACGATCCTTTTGACTGAATCGAAAACATACAGCACAAGCAGTGTAGTCCAATTCCCAAATGAGTCTTTCCTTTATATTAAATCATATTGTTCATGTGGTAATGTGTAGCAAAAGATACACATTTTATCAGTAGTATTTTATAAATAGGAATGAATTTAATGTTTTTCAAAATTGTTTCAATATTATTGTTTACTATACTGTACGGGCATGTCACCTTTTAAAAAGAATGAAAAGTCATTAATCATTTCTTTTTTATGCAGTGCAATTTCCATATTTATGCAATGCAATTTAAGTTAAAAAATTGTTAATTTAATTGTTCTTTCAGTTAGTATAAGAACTCTTCTCACTGAATATTCAAATCTCAGTGTCACCCACTATTTTGTTTATGCACATGGTGGAGATCTCTTCCAAAAATTGTTGTCTTCACATGCATATATTTACAGGCCAAAGACATTGGCCTCAATATTTCTGCAGAAGATAATAATGAGACGCCTTTCAATTCCAGGCACAACAATGAGAAAACCTTCTTGGTGTGGGTCAACGAGGAAGACCACACTCGTGTGATCTCCATGGAGAAGGGGGGCAACATGAAGAGGGTCTTTGAGCGTTTCTGCAAGGGTCTCCAAGAGGTGAGGTCATGCATGTGTATTGTGTAGTATGTGGCTCTCAGTCACTGTTAAAACTGCACAAGCATCCATTATTTATCCAGCAGAGATGCTGCAGCTGTGCTTATTGCAGCTCAGAGCAATGCCCTTTTGTGGACATACAGTTGTAAATATATCGTCCTGCCAGACGGGCATCTGTGTGTAATTATGTGTGTGGGTCAGTCTTAGACTGTTGCTCATTCTAAAAGGGAATCATAAATATATGTCGTATGTTTTATTTTTGAGCAGCTTTTTAATTGTTCTTAGTTAAAACAGATCACTCTTGTTATCTTTCTCACAAGACTCTCTCTCTGTCCCTCAGGTTGAGAGACTAATACAGGAGAAGGGTTGGGAATTCATGTGGAACGAGCACCTGGGTTACATTCTCACCTGTCCGTCAAACCTGGGCACAGGGCTACGAGCTGGCGTCCATGTTACTCTTCCTCGCCTCAGCAAGGTCCTTGCTGTAGAAATACACTATAAACTTATGTCATGTTAACAATTTTGCACCTTGTTTGTCACATGCATGGTGGTAATATTAATGCATTTCGATATTTATGTTCACTTTTTCTTGCAGGACCCTCGTTTCCCTAAGATCCTGGATAACCTGCGACTCCAGAAAAGGGGGACTGGAGGAGTGGACACCGCAGCTGTTGGAAACACTTTTGATATTTCCAATCTGGACAGGCTGGGCCAATCAGAGGTGAGTGGTGGTGTAAAAAAAAAAAAAATATATATATATATATACAGTATATATATATATATATATTTAAGTAAAAAAAAATAGATAATGATATTCAAGTTCTTCACTACTTTGTCTAAATAAATTCAAAATAAAACACTAAAAAACAAAAACATTTTAAATGTTACAAGTAAATTTAGGCATCACAACATTATATAATGTACAGTATGAAAAATGGATTTTGTGAGAGATATTATATTATATTTAACTGTGTTATCAAATTATTAGTGCCTTAAAGTGAGTGTGAGATGAAGGTTTAATATACACACAGATACACACACACCTGCCATAGGCCATTGACGTGAGAAAAATTACCGGCCGTAAATATTTTTATATTTATATGTCATATCTGTATGTGCATTATTTCATTAAAATGAGGCGGAAAATTGGGAAAACAGATTGCAATTTATTATAATTATTATTAATTTCTATTGTTATTTAATCAAATTATAAAAATTAATGAATAAAGTAATATCAATATATCACTCTACTATTACTGAACTGCAAAGTATTTCATCATTTTAATTTATGTAGATTTTTGTGAGAAGCATCTTTTACTGTGAACTGTGAAAAGATAACAGCACTTCACACAGCACATCAGATTACATATTTGTATAATTACAATGCAGTCTTTGTGATTTCATAATCACGCTAAACCATATTGCATTTTCAGGCATTGTTCAAATTAATAAAAAAAGTTACCGGCCAACTGGAGAATAACAGTGTTTCAAATACTTGCCAAAGATGATTTTTAGTCGTATTTCACATTTGGCGAGTGTTCATTTCAGGCCATGGGTACCGATATATTGTGGTAAGTAAATGATGATAGAATTGTTATTTTTGGGTGAACTGTTTTTTTAAAAATGTAAAAAAAAAAATTTTTTTATTACCTCACCATAACTTTTTGTCTCTATCAATGTGTGCTCAGGTCCAGCTGGTTCAGACTGTGATAGATGGAGTGAACTATCTCATCGAATGCGAGAAGAAACTGGAGAGAGGCCAAGACATCAAAATCCCCGCCCCCATCAGCCAGTTTAAATAGACTGGCAGTCTTGGTTAGCTCCTCCCTTCTCCTGACTCCTCCCTCTTGTGTGTTCCTTCCTCCTTCAATATTCCGCTGATACTGATCCATAAGCATGCCTCTGTGTTCCGCCAGACAAACCACACTCCAGTATAAAACAGGAGTGACTGTATCGTACATCATGATTGTGTTCATGTGGCGCTATTGATTTGTCACATTGTAACTGACTTGATTGTGTTGCAATAATACTATAATAGCCATTTTCAAGATTTGCCTCAGGTGTCAGAGAATTAAACAGATGTTTTTGCTGAACGTTGACAATATAAATTGCTGAAGGGTCTCGGAGAGTGTTTTATTGTACATTTTACTGTTGTTTTACATGAAGTAGGCGAAAAGCAAAACTATCACTGAAATAATTCACATTAAAGGTGCTCAGTCATGTTGCACTGGGAGTTGTCTTGTACTGACGCCTAGTGGTGTGGATGAAGCATTGCAGAAACGCTTTATTTGCAGTCAGCCATGATTAATTGATTCCATAAGTTCAAGTCCAGCTGGTCATGTGATTTCAAAATGACGCCCCCATTAAGTGACCCAGTCCATGTAAAATAAAGTCAGGGTTATATATCGGCGTACTGCCCACTAGACTTTCGGCGTCGATGCCAAGGTGGCTTTTGAGAGTTCAATGCTCAAAGTCACTTTTGCTAATTGGGTAGAATCTGAGGTGGAGTCACAAGGCTTGCACATCGCATTATGTTAGAAAACGTAAATTAAAAATGTAGTCAGACAGACAGATTGATAGAATGACAGATTGATAGATTTAATAGAATTCATTAAAAACAGTCAATTGCCAACAAGCAGGTATCATTACAATATATCATAAAGATGAAAAGGTTTATTATCTTACCAATACAAATGTTACTAATGTCTACTGATGTCATTTTAGAAAGTATTTAAACTATATACATTTTATTAGAAATGAGTGTAAACTGTGTGAAAAAAAAACACACATCTAAGTCCCCCATCCAGTGTTTGTGACGGAGAACAGAAGTCACCGAGTTGGTTTGCTGATGCATTCTTCTTACTTTTCTCAGCATTCATGCAGGTTAAGGAAAGCCTGAACTGTCACAACAGATAAAAAGTAATTAATGACTTTTGTTATATTATATTAAATTATGACTAAGTAAAAAGAGGAAATCACAAAGGGGGTTAAATGTTTTGCAGCATTGTATGATTGTATGAAAATACTCTATCCAGACTGGATCAAATATAATGTTGCCGTTGCAATTCGCTTATCATGAAAACGCTTGGTGTTCATACCCACCTAATATATCCTGGAGCCGGTCCATCTCCTCTAGGTTGCGCTGGAGCTTTTCCATCAGCTCGAAGTACCTGTGGAGATTGTCTTCACGCCAGCACTCTGTCTCACAGTCGTCCTGAAACTCAGCAGCCTGAATAAACGCTTCCAGACCCATGTCCCACTCCAGCTCATGTCTCGAGGTATGGCCGTCCAAATTAACATTTGGACTTGGTTGTTCTTCCTCATCTTTGACAGGTTTGTGGTCCTTCAGTTGGTTTGTTTGGCTTATCGCCCTGAAATCACAAATTGAATGTTTTAACATAGGGGTGGGCGATATGACCAAAATCTTATATCACCATACGAGTCATTTTATTTCACAATAACGATATATACTACAATAAAGTTATTTTTGCTTTAAATAAGGTCTTTATGATATAAAACATTTTGATAACAGAAATGTCATAATTCTTGTCACCAGTGTCAATATTACAAAAACCGAATACTAGCCTAAATTGAAAAACAAAACAAAATTCAAGCTCACTGAAGAAAAGTAAACAGTAAGAAATTAAATAAGAATAAGAAGCTAATTACAAGCAATAGGACAAATAACTAAAGAAATAAGAAATACGTACACTATATAAAGTAATCAAATGTATAAAAATACTGCTGTGTAAATTAAACATATATTTCTTCTCATGAAAGTTACAAAAGTGATTTAGTCAAGAGCAGTGAGAGATTTCTCTCTTTTGTTTACTGATTAACATGAATGACAGACAGCAGGAACATTAGACTGCTGTCACTTTAAGAGCTGCCCAGATCCAATATACTGTTACACATGTTTCCTTTCTCAGCTGTTTGCTTTCACTTAAGACCTAAATTACTGTGTTTATGTGTCTTTATTTAACTGTCCAAGGCCTATAAAGTGCGTGCATATAGAGAAATGAGTTCTCTTTCGCTGCTCATTGCGTTTCAACGGCTTAAAATCACTTGTTTTTAAACCGCAATGCTTGAAAACGCGTGCAAACTAAATGTTTTCGTGACCACATAGCACAGTGATGTCACGCGAGTGTGTAACCGTGATAGAAACAATAGTCCAAAATCTCTTATCAGTTGACAAATTTCTACCAGTTAATTGTGTCTTCCGGTATATTGCCCACCCTTGTTTTAATATGTTTAACAAGCCAACATAAACTACATGCATCTAGTAAATCAAAACATATTATTTGTTCACCTACCCCATATGACTTGCTTTGAACATCTCTGCTCTGCGCAGGATTTGCAATTGCTGCACCTCTTTGGAGAGATTGTTACGAATTTCCTGAAAGTCATCAACTGTGGAAATAAAGGAAACAGATGAAATTTTACAGTTAAGAATATACATATACTACCATTCAAAAGTTTAGAGTCGGTAGGGCTTCTGGACAACCTTTTTTTGTGTTAGAATTTTTTTATAGAGGAAAACATTTTTGGGAAGAAATATACCCAGAAAGGCACTAAAACACAATTAATTATTTTCACCTTGATCTGGGTGTAATTTTGTGTATCATGCAATAAAGAAAATCGCTGGGTTTAGAACAATCAATATTTCTTTATATATTGTAAGAATACTTACTTATAAGGGTCATAAAAACACAGGTCATCAAGGCTCCAAAAACAAACCACACCATAATGAACAATCCACAGAGTTGATGGTTCAGCTCTGGAACTCTCTGAATGTCTTTTAGTAAATCAAGCCAGTGCTCGAAGGTAAAAATACTGAAGAGTGTGATGAACGCACTGGATAAATCTCTAAAAAAGAAGACAAGCACATCCATTAAGAACAACCCACACCTTGTTCATAAACTGTTCAAGTTTTCACAATGAAAATGCCCTCACTTGAAATCCTTCTTGTAGAGCAGACCTTCAACGTTGGAGTCAGTGTATTTTTCGAACAGAACTACTCCAAACACAGCAAAAACTAAAAAGCTCATTACCAACACTGGAAATATCAACTTCACGGTCTGTTGAAAGTAGTTAGCATTGTTAGTTTTAATGGAACATTGTTTCTTACACAGTACAGGCTTATGGATAATTGCATACCCCACATGCATGGTAGATTATCTGCAACATAAGACGAATATCCTGGAATCTGGAAACGATCTTCAAACATCGGAGGACGCGAAACTGGACGAGAAGTTTCACAAATTTTTGCGATATTAACGCACCTCTGAAGGTCTCGGGGACAATCGCTGGAAGAACAGGCTAACAGAAAAAAAATGTTACATGGGGTGTCATGTTGTCAAGTTGTTGACCACATGTACTTCAATTGATAGCACGTGATTACAGTTTGATTGATAAAAAAACAACATCTCTTTTCTTTTTTAAATGATCAGAATTGAGGGTACAGTGAGGAACTCACTATTGAAGTGAATGGGGTCCATTTTTGGAGGATTTAAAAGCAGAAATGTGAGGATTATTATCTTATAAAAGCACACATTAATTCTTCTGTTTTTGGTTTTATTTAAGCTGTAAAGCTGTTCAAGTAATATTTCATTTAAAGAAACAGTTCACCCAGGCCATCCAAGATATAAAGGAGTTGTTTCTTAATCCATAGTTTTCAGTAAAGGAAAAAAAAACTTTAATTATGTATTTTTCTTCTTTTTTTTTTTTCTTTTTTTTTTTTTAGAGATATAACCATTTAAAGGAACACTCCACTATTTTTGAAAATAGGCTCATTTTCCAACTCCCCTAGAGTTAAACAGTTGAGTTTTACCATTTTCGAATCCATTCAGCCGATCTCCGGGTCTGGCGGTAGCACTTTTAGCTGTAGCTTAGCATAGATCATTGAATCTGATTAGACCGTTAGCATCTCGCTCAAAAATGACCAAAGAGTTTCGTTTCGAGGCCATATCGGCCTAGAAAATCGCAGCTTTTCATTTTCCGTCGGTCTTAGTACACGTTGTAACTACAGAAGAGTCAAGTTTTAAATCAGAAAAATATAGAAACACTTTGGTCATTTAAATTACACCATACACCTTTCAGTGAACTGTGGTTTTACACATGATTTTTTTTTTACTTAGATTTGTCTGAAATTACTTCTGCAAAATACATTTAGCCTCTTACCTGTCTCTCACATGCACTTTTAGGATTGAATTTTGTTGGTAAATTTGAATATGCATGCACAAAGATGTAACTGACATAACAAATAAACTATATCTAATGAACTACAGCCCAAAAGGGTGGAGAGTCAAACTGTCTAAATTTGAAAACAAAAAAAGAGGAGAAGTCTACATTTCACTCTGCTGCCACCCTATTGATGAAGCATGGCAGATTCAGATGGTGAGCATCTTTTTCATCTGAAAGTGAAAGTTTATTAAAGTAAAATGAATCAATTAATTAACTAATTAATATATTTTGTTTGAAAACTTGGACTGTTTTTGAGTAGCATGATTTACAAGTTGAAATTACAAGTCATTAGTCATTAACGGAGTTAATTCTGGTAATTATCATTTTATTTTTTCTTATAAATTTCATATAATGATATATTGAAATAAAATTTCAATGAATATTGAAAAAAACATTTCTTTTCCCACATCACAGAGGTTTTGCTGTAATTCTTGTCAAATTTAAAATGTCAAAGAATTTCTCTTTTTTTTTTATTAATGAAAAGGAGGTAAATGTAGTAAATAACAATAAACAAGGTAACATTCAAAACTTTGACATTTTTGCACAATAAATAATTAACAAGATGTTACTGATCAGATGTGGTTTTAGTTGAAAAATATTACGTTATGACTGTTTCATAAGCTCACGTTTCAGTGGGTCAAAATTAACCCGAGAATGTGCATATAGTTTTTTAAAGCTATAGGACAGGAGGGTTAATGTTTGACAGTGTTGCAAACGATGGAACTTTACTATAACTTTACAAAGATTATAGCAATTTTTCATGCAAAAATTACACTAACACAGATACATGTTTGCGTCTTGTGGCTATATTATTGAAACACAAATATAGCTTTTATTGAGAATTTTACGGATTACAAATCAACCCAATTCACTTCCACTGTAAGTGTCTCACTGTAACCCAGACTAAAGAAGACAAAGCACAAATTAAATTAATATCGCTTCATTTTTAAGCATTCATACCATCAGAGTCACAGCAAAATCAAAGACGTTCCATGGACTTTTCCAAAACAGCCAGAAATCGTCCAGCCACTTCAGGATGATTTCTAAAACGTAAACTTGTAGTATAGACCAGTTCAGTAGTTGTAGAACCACCAAAAGGATGTCTATGCTTGGATCCTTATAGTCATGAAACTCTGAATATTCAAACAGAGATTGCTCATGAGTGATTTACATATTGGTCTTCTTCTTTAACCAATAATACGGACCAACTTAAAAATCGTGAGCTAATGACCTCTCACCTGCTTCTACTGATAGTAAAGAAACATTCAAAATGACAAGGACAAGCATAAGAGCTTTAAACAGACTACCTAATATATTTACGTTAAGGAGAGTACACAATTTAAAAACTGTGCTGCCTTGAACTTGCTTTTTTTTTGGAACACAAGATCTCTTATGTATAAAAGGATACTCTCTAAGATCCAGTGTGTAAACATATTCAGAGGAGGGTATCTGGAATGGCGGTTCAGCACACGGTTCAGTCTGCGTTGCTCCAGGGTAATGCTGTCTTTTCTGTGGCGACTGATTTCAAACCTCACCAAGTGATTATATTCATTCTCCAGACTGGTGTATCGCTCCAGATCTAAGACACAAATATGCAGAAAACATTTTTTAATCATTATTTTCTTTGTTCTTTCCAGCTGCTATTGTAATACCCCTTGAAAGTGAACCCTGTTACCATCATATTAATCAGCTTGTCATAATGGCAACTTGTCATTATCATGACATCATCATCCCCTTTTTTATCACTTTTTTATGTTAACTTATTCTAACTTGTGAACCCTGTTACCATTATGTCTTACAGTTCACAACTGATAATTAAATAGTAGTAATCTGTAAAAATAGAAGTAATTCTCTAAATTTGAAGAAGCACACACAATGTCAGTTTAAAGCGTAAAACCTTGTTACCTGAGGGCAAATATATATAGTGATGTTACGTTCAACACCGAAGCTTCGAAGCTTGAATAAAAAACAAGACATTTCACATTGAAGCACTGTATCGGAGCTTGGTTCGTTTTGAGAAAAGCACGTGATCTATGACATCCGAAGCTTCGTTCGAGTGAAAACCACGTGACTGCTTCAGCGTCTGGTTCAAACCACAAACCTGGGGCAAGTTCAAGCGCAAACCGGTGTGCACCGTTTTGTTACGGTTTTCGGTTTGAACGACATGTTTCCTGGAAACGGTGTGCAACGGGGTTTGAGATATGTTTTCTCTTGTTTGGTGGGTGTGTAAAACATGTCAGCCCAATCAGCAGCAACATGTATATAAACCACGCGGTATTAAATAGAAAGCTTGCACAATGTAATTAACATCCAAATAAATACACAAGAGCAAGAATATTGTTTGCACATGTTTATTTACATTGAAGGCAAAATAACTGAAATAATAAGAGCACAAGTATAGATCTGGAACTCACATTAAAACATTTGGTGCATTGGCGCTTACTCGAGATAATTATGAATAATTATAAATGTAATTATTAAGGTTTTTTTCTAGATATCAATCATATAATGTAGTATTAGGGAACTGCGTGCATGATAGCGGCGTTGAATAACAATACAAAGCTAGTTTGCTAAAGCGAAAGTAACTGCACTAGCTGCTTTTTTAGTCAAGTTAGAAGTACTCTATACAAGGTTGTGAGATGCTAATAAAGAATCGGGGAATGTAGATGGAGTGATTAAGACTTTTAAACGCTCGCTGGGATCAGAATGAATCCATGCAACTCCATAGTCGTGGTACATTAAAACATTTGGTGCATTGGCGCTTACTCGAGATAATTATGAATAATTATAAATGTAATTATTAAGGTTTTTTTCTAGATATCAATCATATAATGTAGTATTAGGGAACTGCGTGCATGATAGCGGCGTTGAATAACAATACAAAACTAGTTTGCTAAAGCGAAAGTAACTGCACTAGCTGCTTTTTTAGTCAAGTTCGAAGTACTCTATGCAAGGTTGTGAGATGCTAATAAAGAATCGGGGAATGTAGATGGAGTGATTAAGACTTTTAAACGCTCGCTGGGATCAGAATGAATCCATGCAACTCCATAGTCGTGGAGGAAACTAATTATATCAGTCACTTCCTGTTTGTAGCTTTTCCTCTTATTTGCGAATGCTATGTAGTGGATTAGTTGCCTGTCAGTCGCTCACATTCTGCATAACGCCTCGTAATGTGTTCTGTGAGTGTGAGGCGAAAGAAAGTCGTACAGGTTTGAGTCCACATGAGACTGAGTAACTGATGATGAATTCTTATTTTTTTAGGTCAACTGTCTCTTTAAGAACTTGCACTCTGCACATGAAGGCCAGCATTAGTTGTTCGTTCTCTGTGAAATTTGATTTTTAGAGCAATTTGCAGGTTTACAGAATTAAACCTCAAAGTGTGTCGAAACAGATTCAGTGTTTGTCTTAAGTCGCGGCTATAGAACGTTTATCAGATAGAAACGCAGATGAGGGCGGTAACAAGGAGGTTCGGAGGTTCGGAGATTGAAGTCTCTGCGGAGCAAAAGTGGGCGTTCTGACTCTGGGTGTTTTCAAACTGATGGGTTTTTCTAAATGATGCAATGAAAATGATCCCCCTTTCCTAACCCCACCCCTAAACCTACCCGTCACTACGACTTCAGCCAGTCAGGTAACATGGTCGAAAACGCCCCTCTGTTTTGGTCTCGCCCACCGATCTGGTAACGCCCATTACTTTCCTGCAGAGGTTCGGCGGCCCTCCGTTGTAACGTTTCGATTGGTCGATGAAGTTTCGCTGGCCGTGTGTGATTGGATGACGCACGATTCCGTAGTTCAGCGTTACTGACTAACTTCAGACTAATTTATCAAAATGACTTACCCTGCCTCAGATTTGATAGGTAGTTCAGGGGTAATTTACCTAAACAAAAACAAATATTGGCATTTCCTGAGCTTCATATTTATTTTTTGTTGTTGTTATAAGGATATTCTAGTTCGAATAAAAGTCAGAAATCCGCCAATCTGTCATGAGTGTATAGTAGACCAACTTTGCAAAGTAATAAACCTCATGTGTCATCTTCACTTTTAGGTGTGGCCATTGCAAACATCTTGCTCCAGAGTATGAGGCAGCTGCCACTCGACTAAAAGGCATCGTCCCACTTGCTAAGGTATTATCAAACCCTGCACATTTACCTGGAAATCATTTTACATGGTCTCATTATAGACTTTCATATTTTTCAGAGTGCACTTAATTGTACTTAATGTGCTCTTGTAGTGTACAGAGAACAATATTAATAAAATTAAAAAAACACTTAAGTGTATTTAAAGAAAGATAACGTTTCTTAAATTTAAGTTCACTTTTTTTTTTTAAATGCTCTTTTTAGTAATGCCACAATATAACTTCACCCCCAAAATGAAAATTCTGTCATCTACTCTCCCAAAAGTTGTTACCGAACAACTGCTGGTATCTATTGACTTCCATCGTATGGGGGGTCAAAGGCTACCAGCAACTGTTTGGTAACCAAATACTTTAGGGTGAGTAACTTTTTGAGTGAACTGTTCCTTTAATTGCAAATATCATGCAAAAGTCACTAAAAACATTGCATTAATTTCACACTTATACTCGCACAGCATATTCTTTTATTATTTGCGTATGCTAAAAGTATACTGTAGTGCACTCTCTTTTCACAAGGGTTGACTTGGGTCTGGTGGAGGATTGCTCTTAATGTTCTTCTCTAATATGATCTAGGTGGACTGTACCGCCAGTTCCAGCGTGTGCGGCAAATATGGCGTGAGCGGATACCCAACCCTGAAGATTTTCAGAGATGGAGAGGATTCTGGTAGCTACGACGGTCCCAGGACAGCAGGTGTGTTCTTGTATCTTGTGTGATGCCATATGTAGTTTCTTTATCAGATATTAATGCCTTCTGTATCTTCTTTAATCCAACAGATGGAATTGTTAGCCACCTGAAGAAGCAGGCAGGTCCATCCTCAGTGGAGCTCAAAAGTGAGGCTGAATTTCAGAAGTTCATTGGGGACCGTGATGCCAGTGTTGTGGGTAAGTGATGGTATTGTACAGTAATGTTTACTATCTCACATTAGACCTGATTGTACTGTATTACTTTTTTTTTGCATCAGTGCTCTTGACTATATTATATGTAATTGTTATCCGTGTGTCCAGGGTTCTTCGCTGATGGAGGAAGTGCTGCTCAGGGAGAGTTCCTGAAGGCTGCCAGCGCTTTAAGAGAGTCCTACCGTTTCGCCTACACTAATGTAGAGGACTTATTGAAGAAGCATGATGTTGATGGAGAGTATGTGGCATTTTTCTGTTCCTAGTGATTTTGGTTTCAGTTTTGCAGAGAAATTCATCCCATTTCTAATATTCTGTTTTTTTTAATGTGTGTTGCAGGGGCATTATTTTGTTTCGACCACCTCATCTCGGCAACAAATTTGAAGACGGCAGTGTGAAATTCACTGAGGACAAATTCACAAGTGCAAAGATCAAGAAGTTCATTCAGGATAACATGTATGTTTTAGCTTATGATCACTGTTAAAATGAGTGAAATAGGGCACTCGTTGCTAATATCTGCATTCTGTTTACTATTAGTTTATCTGATGTGTGGTTTGGTGGTTGAATATGTAATATTAAAGTCTTTTTTCCCCCATATGACAGTTTTGGCATCTGTCCCCACATGAATGATGACAACAAAGACCAGCTGAAAGGCAAAGACTTGTTGGTGGCCTACTATGATGTGGATTATGAGAAGAACCCCAAGGGTTCAAACTACTGGAGGAACAGGTAGAACTATTTTGTGAATTTGTTTGTTCAGGGACAGTTCAATTTATGTATATAAAAGTGGCATTTATTTTCAGTAGATTTCAAGTACTATGGAAATATGGAAGTTGCAAGGTTTTATTTATGTGTACATACAAAAAAAATCTCTGTATATATACACATACATACTATTTTATATATATATAAAATTCTTAGATTTTTTTTAAAAAATTTAATATTTTGCAACTTTTCCGTAGTGGGCAAGAAAACGAATAAACATAAAATTTTAAATAAACTGATTATTGAGATATATATATATATATATATATATATATATATATATA